AGACTGTAGTTGCTATGAGCGTGACCTTTGCTTTTGAAGGCATTTTTGTAGCAATCTCTGGATGTCTTAGGATTGTCCTTGATCTCCTTTACTCCTCATTTTGTTGGAAACATTATAGTTTGGTGAAAGGTGGATGAAACAGCTCGCATGTCGTGGATCCAAGGTCGGCCCAAGATGACGTTATATGGTGAAGGACAGTCAAGCACTAGAAAAATGGTTTGCTTGTTGACTGCACTAGTGTAAACAGGCAGAGCGATTTCTCCGATGGTGTATTTCTACTCGAAACTGAACCCGACCAGTATGGTTGGTCGTCTGCTAATGTTTGTTTCATCCAGTCCCATGGCCTTCACTACTTCAAGGAAGAGGATGTTTGCCGAGGATCCCCCGTCTACAAATACTCTCTTGACCAGGATGTTGGAGATCTAGAGGGAGATAACTAGAGCATCATGATGAAGGGCGGCCAGAGTGACTGGCTCGTCATCTTCAAACTGAATTACCTGGTTGGTGTGCGACCGAGAGGGTGGATGGATGGATTGGACTTCATGGTGATGGTTGGCTCAGGCGTAACGCTTGGCTGAGGAATAGCTGACCCCACTGATCTCCAACCCTCTATAAATAATTAAGCAGAGCCTCTTTGGTGTTGGTTCTCGTGGAGGTGGAGATGTTTCCTTCGAGCTTCTCTAGCTAACTGTATTTTTCCCTTTATCTGTCAATAGATCTCGGAGATGTCCCCTCTTCAGTAGTGCTGTAACTTCCAACCGTGGGGCAATGCAATCTGTGGTGTTATGACCATGGCCACCGTGGAATTCGTACCACTTGGTCGTGTCCCTCCTCGTTTTGGGATTGAGCTTGTTCGGCCACTTGACAGTGGGTCTCATCCATTTCATGATTGCCATGACCTGGGCTAGTTCGACGTTAAGGTTGTACTCTGAAACTTTATATTGGCTTGATCCGGATGGTCTGTTGTCGGTTCTAATTAGCGGGCGGGTGGTCATATGGTTTTTTTAACTTTGTTCAGATTGCGTAGAGGGGGTTGGTAATAGGGCTCAATCGATCTGGACTCTAACCTTCTATCTTTCCGCCTTTGGTGACGGTCGTCGTACCTAGCATGCCTCATCTGGTTCATTTCATCTTCCTCCCACCTTATTTGAATCATAGCTCTGGCAAAGGCATCTTCCATCGTGGTGCAGCCAAGCTTCGTCAGGTCTTTGTATAGTTCTCTATCCGGGAGGAGACCCTTTCTGAAGGTGTCTACTGCCGTCTCTGGGCTACAGGAAGGGATGAAGATTTTTTCTTTGTTGAATCTGCTGACGTACTCTCTCAGCGACCCCCCCTTCTTCTGATAGACTCTGTACAGGTCGGCCGATAGTTTCTCGAGTTTCTTACTGCTGGCGAATTGTTCAACGAAAGTGTCGGTGAGTTGGGCGAATGAGTTGATTGAACAGTTTAGGAGGTTAGTGTACCACTGAAGAGTTGGGCTGGAGAGGCTTGAACCGAAGCTCTTACACATGTAGGCTTCCCTCAATGTTCGGGGTATCGAGACGACAAACATTCGCTGCTTGTAGGAGGCTATGAGGTCATCTGGGTTGATTGTGCCATCGTAGGGCTTTATGTTGGGGATGGTGAATTTCTGTGGTATCTCGGCTAGCGCGATTGCGTCTACGAAGGGTGAATCGACATAACAGTGAGGTTGACTCTTTTTTGTTAGGATTGGCATTCCGGGTATGCGCCTCATCACTGCCTCTATGTCGGCTAGTCTCTTGGCCAATATTTATTCCATGGGAGAGGCAGATACCAATAAGTCATCCTAGTTGACTCGGTTGGCCACGTGATTCGCACTCGGTGCGTTTTGGTGGGTCAATCCACGTGGTGTAGCCTGACGGATCACTTCGTTGTGTGCCGCTTGGTAGCTTAGATCCCCATTCATTCCCTCCAGTTGGGTGACTCCCATTGTGACCGATCGGGTGTTTCACCTCACATGGATTGTAAGGGGGGTTATTTGGGATTCGCTTGGTCCTTGAGATGGATGGACTCGAGCGGGATGGTTTGAAGGAGTGGGGGACTGCTCAACCCATGAGGATGAGCCCAATCGAGTGGGGTTTGGGTAGGGATGATTGACTGCAGGTGAGACAGGACGACGATGATGGATGTTTCTTGTTGTAGTAGGCTTTCTCTCATTTGGACGCCTTGATCTCGCGCTTGAAGCAGATCGACCGAGAGGGGTTCTATCGGCAGCCCCCGTTAACTATTAGTCAGGGCTGAATCGTCAACTAATGACGAACATAGTTGGCACGATCTAACATAGTTTGCACGATCTAACATAGTTGGCACGACCTCGTATCCGAGATCGTGCGTCTATGTTTTGGAGTTTGGAGAGGTTGCATAGACAGAACGGAGGTGCAAAACCGATTGGGTTGTACTTGACAAGGTAGAAGCTCAAGATCATAAAACTGACTTACATCTCTTTTAGAGATTGATTCTCAGCCCTAATGGAGGCGTTTTCAGTCCGGATGGCAATGTTCTCAGCTTCCAGTGCGGCCACTTTATCTGAGTGCTGATGCATGAGGGCAGTTAGAGCCTCCAGTTTGGCCTCGAGGCTAGGATTAGTGTTATCAGAATTGTCAACCATAGAGAGTTTCTTTATGTAACAGGGTTTGTGAGACGAATGATTGCTAAAGGCCCCACAGTGGTCGCCACACTGTAGATGCAAAAATCTACCTTTATGGAAAGGGGGACTGATCCCGTGAGATTAAGGCCACTAGCGATCTGTTGCACCTGCACACGTAAGAAAACAAGCATGACGTAGACGGAAAACACCAGGGTGGTATTTGTCGTGGGCACTTTGACGATCAAGTTAGCAAGGCTAAGTGAGGCTAGTTTAGTGAGGGTTATGGAGAAGAAAGGTTACCGAAAGTCTAGTCAGGGACTATGACTACGGCAGTAATGCGAAGTTCTCAAGGGTGGGAAACTCCAAGGTTTAAAGGTGTAATGTCTTTGTCCTTTATGAGAGGGCTGACCTCTGTTTAAATAGTGACTGCATAGTATTCGAATCCTGGTGGGACTGGGAGTCCTTGCACCGGTGGTCCTCCCAAAGAGTGGAGCCTTTGGCTCTCTGATCTCAGCAGGAAAAGGAGTCCTAGCGTGTCTAGGATACAGACCTTAGACGAATTGAGATAGTAATTGACTTCCTTAGTAGAGTTCAAGCAATACTACAGTTCGTAGGCGACTGTGGGTTCCAAGTTGATCGTAAGTCCATAAGGTGTTCTAGGATCAGAAGGCCTGGGTCTAGATGGGGAGGAACTAGGAAGGAACACCAGATGGGCCTCATTTGCAGAACTTTGAATTGGGCCCCATCGGAATTGGGCCTGAGCTTTTCAACTTTGTTGAAGGTGTCTTCGTCTTTGGGCCTATCTGGGCCGAGGACCTTTTTTTTGCCCTAACACATACAGAAGCAATTATATACTATAAGTTTCATGCTTGAAAAATATTAAAGAAAAGAAACATAGACGACTTTTATTTCTTACGCAACTACAAGCTTCTATGCATCATATGGTAGTTCTATTTCCAGGAATCCTTTCCTACACATCACTTAATGTTTGTTACCTCTAACATTCAACCCGCAAACTATCAATAGGGTGAAAAGAACATACTCCCATGCCCGATAATCAACCCCATCACCGCAAAAATTATCAAGGTTTCAACCTCTGGCTACATCTTTTTACCATTACAAAGAAGGAGAGAAAGGATCACCATAACATGTTTTAGAAGAGAAAAAAACTAGACACTCTAGGGAAAGAAAGGAATGGAGTAATAGGAATCATTAATGTTGATCTTTCAGTTCTCACTGAAACAATATTATCAAGTCATAGTCTTATTTTACCACATAATATTATATATGTAGTATTATTTATCACACAACATGGTAAAGCCAAACCACTAGCAAAGGTGTAAGGACATCTATGAATTAAATTAAAGCAATAGAAGCTAGAAAGAATATAGATCCAATCAAATCTGAGTAAACTTATTTGGGGGTTACTCTACCTACCTTGTGAGTTGTGGTACAGAAGCCGAATGAAGCTATAAATAACATTTTTCTAAGAAATGCGACATTTCATCAAACGGCCATTGCTTGGTAAGTCTGAGATTGGACGAGTTATAACACTTTCATGGTTTTTTTAAAGTATCATGTACTGTATCTTCTTTTTCGGGGGGTGGTTTTGATATTTTCTTCACGGGATAAATGATAATCTCATTATCTCAAGGGGTAGATGATAATACATGGTGTATACAGTATTTTTCAAAAATTGTGGGTGTATCAAAGTTTTTACAATCATTGAAGGGATTGGATAACTTCGGGGATCTAAAATAAATAAATAAATTAAAAGCATATTTAGTTTTTATTTAATGGAGTGACGGCTTATTGGGCCATGTTTTATTTAATTGCAATTAAGATTTGGGCTTTGAATTCCACCTCTAACTACTATCTTCCCTACACAAGCCTGAGAAATGGGTATATGAGTAATATTACAGTCATTGGAAGTAGTACATCGACTTTATGTATCGAATGACGTGGTATAATCCTAACCATTGATTATTATTAAGTTATAATTAATTAACGGTCAAAATTTCGTCATGTTATTCGGTGTACTACTCCTGATATCTCTATTATTTTTCATGGGTGTATGATGGTGTTTTAGGAAATCAATCCACGTGTCCTAATATATAACCAAATTAATAAAATTCGATTTATTGAATGATTAGTTTTGTCTACTCTGCTGACTGCTGTACATATCTTTTATGTAATTTTTTAGAGTTTTCAAAAAGACCTCTGAACTCAAAATATCCCATAAAATGGGATTATTGTTTACCCAAACAAATGGGGATTAAGCCCAAATGAAGAATATAAGAATGACGTGGAATAAATTAGGGTTTGAGTCAAATGTTAGAATTTAGAAATAGTAATAGTGAACGGTCGTTTAAGGGCATCTGTAGACCACCAAACAGCCGCGTATTCATCCACTTCCTCCCTCTTTCCCCTTTCTCTCTTTCTCACTATAAATTCTCACAACTCTTCCTTCTGCACTTCACAATTCCACTAACCACCCTTTCTATGTTTTATAGATCTTTACTTAGCTTTTTCCTTTTCAATTGATCAAAACCTTAAACTAGAATGGGTGTCAAAGGTTTCGTTGAAGGCGGTATTGCCTCAATTGTGGCGGGCTGCTCCACTCATCCGCTCGATCTCCTCAAAGTTCGTATGCAACTCCAAGGTGAAAACCTCCCCGGTACAAACGTTAACCAACAAAACCTCCGTTCACTCCGCCCGGCTTTGGCTTTTCAATCCAGTTCCGCCACCGTCATTCCCTCTAATTCCCTTCATATCCCTGTTTCAACTGCTCAACCACAACCTCCACGCGTCGGCCTCGTCTCTGTCGGCATGCGGATCGTCCAAAGCGAAGGCGTTGCCGCTTTATTCTCCGGTGTGTCCGCTACCGTGCTCCGTCAAACACTCTATTCCACCACCCGCATGGGCCTCTACGATGTATTTAAACAAAAATGGACTGATAAAGACACTAACAACATGCCTTTGACTAGAAAGATAGCAGCCGGTTTAATAGCCGGAGGAATCGGTGCGGCAGTTGGTAACCCCGCTGACGTGGCAATGGTTCGAATGCAAGCCGACGGTCGGCTCCCTCCCGCTCAGCGCCGTAACTACACGAGCGTGATCGACGCCGTTACGCGAATGTCAAAACAGGAAGGAGTTACTAGCCTGTGGCGCGGATCATCGCTTACGGTGAACCGGGCGATGATAGTGACGGCCTCACAGTTAGCGTCGTACGATCAGATCAAGGAGATGATATTAGAGAAGGAAGTGATGAGTGATGGATTGGGGACTCACGTGACGGCGAGTTTCGCGGCGGGATTCGTGGCGGCAATTGCGTCGAATCCGATAGATGTTATAAAGACGAGAGTTATGAATATGAAGGTTGAGGTCGGAATGAAACCGGCTTATAGTGGGGCCATAGATTGCGCGTTGAAGACTGTGAGGGCTGAGGGGCCCATGGCGCTATATAAAGGATTTATTCCTACGATTTCCAGGCAGGGACCATTCACTGTGGTGTTGTTTGTGACACTGGAGCAAGTTAGGAAACTGCTGAAAGAGTTTTGATTATGATGATGATGAAAAATTTGAGAATTGAATTGTTCCATTCATTATTATTTTTTTTTTTTTAAATTATGTTGATTTCGGTTGATATAATGAGAAAGAGGAATTTATGTTTCTTCAATGAGATTATTTGTGCTGGGATATTAAAATGTGTAATATTATATTTATACTACTCTTTTACACTATTTTTATTATATTATGATATGGCATATACACAATCACACAAATTTTTTCATAATATTAAAAATTTAAAACAATTAAAATTTTATGTAATTGTACTATATGTTATATTATAATATAATGAAAATAGTGTAAAAAAATGGTGTAAATATAATATTATGATATAATAATAATAATAATGTAAAAGAATGTTGTAAATATAGTATTATTCGGTTACAATTGTCTTTGAATTTAAGTTTGAACAAGAGAAGCAGATGGGAAATTGTAGACGGTCATAGATGTTGCGGTGTCTTTGCCTATAGACGTGTGGTAGGCACAGGCACGGGCCTTTGACTAAGGATAGTAGAAGCTACTTAATGGGTGGAATGGAACTTTACGCTTAAGCAATTAGAACTCAGAAGTGAGTGGTGCCCACTTTGGGTTTTCACCAAGGCTTCCTGCGCCGTTCTTTATGGAATTAAGATAATAAAATATTGAGTTGACCACTCTTTCTCAAATTGAACCACGTTAGAAGGAGTCTTGACACAAAGAGATTAGTAAATTATTAAGCAGCTTATGTAATACAGCTCGTCCAATCGAAAGGGGATACGTTTACACTTGATTATACTAAACCAGACTCAGACTCACCAAGATAATGAGTCCAAGAATAAAAAGTACCGTTCCCGTGGTCACAAGCTGAGTAGAAGCTTGATCTCAGGTCAGGAGCCAAGCAACTTCAATTAATTTAAAAATTGAATTTGCCCATACAAAAGATGTAAAATTACTGTACAATACTGCTCAGTCTCTAACCAGGTAAAAAACAAATAGACATGATTAACATTAGTAAGTTGGTTGATCTGTACATCCCAAGCTTTTTGGGGGAAGAATAGGCTCTCTGGACTTGGCACCGAAAATGTTGCAGGTTTTCTTTCCAAAAAACATCCTCATCTTCTACGCGCTTTTAATTCATCCTGCCTGTGCACAAACAATGACTGAGATATGTAGAAGACATGGTATCATCTAGAGTACGTACGAGAAGGCGTGACAGATTGGCCACCAGGTCCTTGACTTTGTTCACCGTCATAGTTCACATGACCTTCAGATCTTCCTCTTTCCAAAGCGTATTGACGTTGGCCTTCTGATCTTCTACCTCCATCCACATTCTGGACTGAATGGCTATTTGATTTCCTGAACTTTTCCGGTTTCTGATGTGACTGGCCTTCCCGTTTGTCCACGTTTTGGAGTGATTGGGAATTGTCACCTTCTCTGCCGATTTCTGATCCTTGAGACTTGTCTGTGTTCTGGGCTTCTGATCCTCTACTTTTATCTTGACTTCGGACAGCTTGACCAGAACCTCGAATATTTTGGAGTTCACTTGCTATCTGACTCCGCCGTTCCTTCAGAAAGTTGAGTCTGGTTGTCAACTTTGTCAATGACAAAGAACTGGAGTTGCTTCCCTGTGGCACACACAAAAGATGGAGATGTAACACTAGCTACCATATCATTAAAAATGAGGCTACAAGATTAATTCTTCCGTTTGTAGATGAAATAAGCAATGAGCTTCCAATCATTTGAATAGAAATCAAATTATTCAATGGGCAATAAGATTTTGAAATTCCATGGAGCATTAAGACATCATCCCCTCATTCCAACCAACGAGTAATTGGACATCTTTTTCTTTTTTTTGACAACAAAATATAATTAGCTGAGATGATACAATGATAAGATACATGCATTCTGTAAGATATGTTACGTAAAAAGTAATTCATTGACTCATTGCTCTAGAGCCCTTCACAAAAAAGAAAAAAAAAAAAAAAGAGGAAATAGTCTGGTGTTTAAATTCAATTATAATCATATCAATTAAACTACTATCCTAATAAAAGATAATAGAGCCTACCTCACCCTTTGAACCAGATTTCTTAGAATTGCTAGGAGCGGTAGGCTTGGAGTTGCTATTGTTTGTTGAATCCAGCTGCTGGTTTTGAGATGAATTTTTATTCGGTTTAGAAGTTGATTCCCGCTTCCTCTCGTGATTGTTACTATCTGCAGCTCCATCCAAACAAATATCCTGCTAGATTATTATTTGGTCAAGAAACAAGTTAGTAGGTTTCACGTTGAGACTATTACTCAACAATATGCCTCAAATTCCAACATAAATTTACCTTGCTTGTTGACCTTTCAGAAACATGTGAAGGAGCAGAAGCTTCAGTATCCCATTTTTTGCCCATCCTGTACCCAAAAATATAGATTTAGTGAATAGATAGGAAAAAATAAAAAGAAAGGAAACAATCTTAGCACTACCCAAAAACTAAAAGATGGTCGCCCTCTCACATTTATCAGCTTTGAAGCATAAATTACATTTGTGCACAGAGTGGTGATACTATCTAAGACTTACAACCTTAATAGGACCATCTAAAATTATGAAGAATTATAACAAATGCCCAATAGGAGATGCAACAAGAGAAGAAAATCTAAGCAAGGAACATACAACTTAGCTGACGTTTGTTGGAGCTGATTGCCTGAATCACCTGTGGAACCATGGTTTTTTTGGAGTTGTTGATTCAGCTGCACTCCAAGATCATCAAGCTTCTGCTGCAAACTGCCAACTTCTGATTCTGCTCTAACTATTTCTTCAATCTCTGCCTTCGTCTTTAGCATGTTTACATGTTAAAAATTTTAATGCAAGATCAAGACCAATTATAATAGTCAACTTTGAGATAGACTAACCTTTTCATCAATTGTAGCTGGACAAGATATAGACCCCTTAGATGTGTTAAGCACTGATTCTAAAGCTGTTTTCTTATCTCTCTCATTCTGCAACTGATCCTCTAGTCTAGCCACCTGAAAGTACAATTAACACTTAGAGTGTGTTTGGTTTAGGGAATGTTTTATTACTGGGAATGTTATATAAATTGAAAGAAAGATTACCTTGAAGATTATTGGGAATGTTTAGAAAAATATGTTTGGTTGGGTTGAAATAAATTAGTGAGTATGTTTGGTTGGGAGGATAAATGGGTAGATAGGTTATATAAATTACTAAATAGCCCTCCTTTTTAAATATTAATAAAATATTTTTTTTATTATTAATTTTTGAATCGTTCTTTTAACCTCTTATATTTGAAATTTTGTTAAAAACACCCCAGCTATATAAAATTTTAATTTGTAACAAAATCACCCCCACTCACCCAAGGGACTGTCGACCTCCGGCCACCATTGTTGGCAGCCACCATAACGGTGCACTACCGGTTGGATTTGACCGATCGTGCGTCGTTAAGACTGTTTTCGGCCATGGATCTATCATGAAAAATGGCCAGATCTAGCTTTTTCACGGCCAAAAACAGTCTTATCGGCAAGGCCAACCAAATCCGACGGCCATGCGCCGTTTTTGTGATTGCCGATGGTGGCTGACGGTCGATAGTCCCTTGGTTGGCTAGGGGTGGTTGTGGTCTTGGGTAATTTTTTGAAATTCAAGGGTAATTTTGTCTTAAAAATCCGGAGTATGAGGTTTAAATTGTCCATAAATTTTATGGTAAATTATTTGGATAACAAGGGCCTTTTTGTCCAAAAATTTTATTAATAAAGAATAAAATTATAAAAAAAATAAGATTACCAAATAATCTTAAATTACTTAAAAAAATAGAGGAAATCAGATTACCTCTTATATTACTAATAGTTTTTACTATTGATTTTGGAAGATTACCTAAATATTATATTACTTAATAACCAAACGTGATAATCAAATAATATAAGATGATATTACCTCAGTAATCTCATACTATCCCCTACCAAACTCACCCTTAAGATTTCTCTCAGTTTCCCCTCAAAAGTTCAATAGACAGTTGAATATCAAACTACTTGTGTGCAACTAATTTCCTATTTAACATACAGAAGCAATTATATACTATAAGTTTCATGCTTGAAAAATATTAAAGAAAAGAAACATAGACGACTTTTATTTCTTACGCAACTACAAGCTTCNCAACTTCTGATTCTGCTCTAACTATTTCTTCAATCTCTGCCTTCGTCTTTAGCATGTTTACATGTTAAAATTTTTAATGCAAGATCAAGACCAATTATAATACTCAACTTTGAGATAGACAAACCTTTTCATCAATTGTAGCTGGACAAGATATAGACCCCTTAGACAGTGGCGGATCCAGGGAATTTTTTTAGGGTGGGCCAAAATCCAAAAATTATATATATTAATATTTAAAAAAAAAATTGAGAGTGGGCCGTGGCCCACCCAAAAATGGGCTGGATTCGCCCTTACCCTTAGATGTGTTAAGTACTGATTCTAAAGCTGTTTTCTTATCTCTCTCATTCTGCAACTGATCCTGTAGTCTAGCCACCTGAAAGTACAATTAACACTTAGAGTGTGTTTGGTTTGGGGAATGTTATATAAATGGAAATAAAGATTACTTTGAAGATTATTGAGAATATTTAGGAAAATATGTTTGGTTAAGTTGAAATAAATTAGTGAGTATGTTTGGTTGGGAGGATAAATGGGTACATAAGTTATATAGGTTATTAAATAGCCCTCCTTTTTAAATATTATTTTTATTATTAATTTTCTAATAATTCTGTTAACCCCCTACATTTGAAATTTTGCTAAAACACTTAAGTCATATAAAACTTTAAGTTATAACAAAATCACTCCCACCCACCCAAGGGACTGTCGGCTGCCGGCCACCATTGTTGGTAGCCGCCATAACGGTGCACTATCGGTCGGATTTGGCCGATCGTGCGTCGTTAAGACCATTTTTGGCCTTGGATATGTGATAGATCCATGGCTGAAAAATGGCCAAATCTAGCCTTTTCATGGCCAGAAACAGCCTTACCGGCACGGCTAGCCAAATCCGACGGTCGTGCGCCGTTTTTGTGACTATCAATGGTGGCTGACGGTCGATAGTCCCTTGGTTGGCTGGGGGTGGCTGTGGTCTTGGGTAATTTTTTGAAATTCAAGGGTAATTTTATCTTAAAAATCTTGAGTATGAGGTTTAAATTGTCCATAAATTTTATGGTAAATTATTTGGATAACAAGGGCATTTTTGTCCAAAAATTTTATTAATAAAGAATAAAATTGTAACAAAAATAAGATTACCAAATAATCTTAAAATACTTAAAAAAATAGAGGAAATCAGATTACCTGTTATATTACTAATAGTTTTTACTATTGGTTTTGGAAGATTACCTAAATATTATATTACTTAATAACCAAACGTGATAATCAAATAATATATGATGATATTACCTCAATAATCTCATACTATCCCCAACCAAACACACCCTTAAGATTTCTCTCAATTTCCCTTCAAAAGTTCAATAGACAGTTGAATATCAAAACTACTTGTGTGCAACTAATTTCCCAATTAACATATTGTAGATGCAAAAATCTACCTTTATGGAAAGGGAGACTGATCCCGTGAGGTTGAGGCCACTAGCGATCTGTTGCACCTGCACATGTAAGAAAACAAGCGTGACGTAGACGGAAAACACCAGGGTGGTGTTTGCTGTAGGCACTCAGACGCTCAAGTTAGCAAGGCTGAGTGAGGCTAGTTTAGTGAGGGTTAGGGAGAAGAAAGGTTACCGGAAGTCTAGTCGGGGACTGTGACTACGGCTATAATGCGGAGTTTTCAAGGGTGGGAACTCCAAGTTTGAAGGTGTAATGTCTCTGTCCTTTGTGAGAGGGTTGGCCTATGTTTAAATAATGACTGCATGGTCTTCGAATCCTGGTGGGATTGGGAGTCCTTGCAGTGGTGGTCCTCCCAAACAGTGGAGCCTTTGGCTCCCTTATCTCAGCAGGAAAGGGAGTCCCACCAGGAGTCTTATCTCAGCGATGGTCCTCTCAAAGAGTGGAGTCTTTTTGGATCGATCGATCGATCGATTTTCCAGACCGAGTGGTCGGGAGCTAGGCTAGTTCTTGGTCATCCGAACATAGTCAAATGTCGAATTGGAGTTGTAAAATTTGGTATTTGGGGATCGGGCAGCCGGTGGCTCAAGGCGAGTGGGCATCAGGCGGTTGTGTTTTGGATAGGGAATCAATCGGTTGTTCAGGTCGAGCTGGGATCAGATGGTGCTAGGTTTTGGAGAGGGAGTTGATCGGTGGTGCGGGGCGAGCAGGGATCAGACGGTGTTAGGTTTTGGAGAGGGAGTCGATCGATGGTGTGGGGCGAGCAGGGACCAAACAGTGTTAGGTTTTGGAAATGGAGTCGGTCTGTGGTGCGGGGGCGAGTAAGGCTTTAGAAGGGGTAGGCTTTGAATTAGGAGAAGTCGGCACCTGGGGCGAATGGGTAGATTGCTTAATGACTAAGTCAGGAACGAGCGGTTCGAGTGGGGCTGAGGCAAAAGTTGGGGATGAGTACGAGAATGCCCCGACCATGGTGATGATGCCCAAAGGTGGGGGTGTTCCAGTCAGTATACCGATTGGGGTGAATGTGGTTGCCATTAGGATGAGTGGCGCCACCCCGAGTGATGATGAGTCGGATAGGCAGGGGGGGGGGAGTAGGGAAGACTCCGATAGAGTTGGTGATTTTGAGAGTTCACCCTCCACCGGTAGTGGCTTCGAGAACGAGCCAACTCGGCTTGGTAGTGGGATACTGAGCCGGGATTATCCGCCCTTACTGAAGGACAATGATGTGTGACGGATCCGGACGATGTATCACATTTAAAATTTCATCGAGGTCAAGGCACCACAGTCGTACGAGTGAGTCGATTAGGAGGCGAAAGGCTAGGTGAGTGTCTACGAGAAATGGTTTCACGATGGACTGAGGCTTCCCATCCCTCGCCTTGTTTGGGAGGTCTTGAACCATTTCATGATCGCCTCATCCCAGATTATGCATAACAGATGGAGGTTACTTATGGCACTGAAGGACCTTTGTGTGCGGAATCAGGTGATGTTTGGGCTGCACGAGTTGCTATATTCATATTTCCTGAAGGAAAACGATAAAGAGAAAGGTCGATATTTGATCAACCTTAGGCATGGTTAGGCTCACCTAGTGACCAACCTTTGATCAAGTGACAAGAATTGAAAGGAG